TTCCTGTTGGCCTCCACCTTCAGAGGCTTACGTGCATTAAGTGCGCCATAAGACATGAATTCTGTTATGAGCTTGTAGGGTCCAGATCCCACTTCCATCTGATCAGTCCAGGATATTACATTGCATTTGCCCTACTGGTAAATGGTGAGGATACTTAACCTCTGCGCCATTCTCCCAGTAAAGCACATGCCATACAGAGTGTTCCTCAGCTGTTGAACCGGACCAAAGGAATCCAGGGTCCTGCTTCCCACAGTGGCCTGCGGAAGCATCCATGGGAAACCAGCAAGCACCACAGAGCTTATTCCCCCTTTTCCCCAGAGAAAGTGAGACTAAATTGGCTATTTCCTGGATACCAGAAGTAACAGTTAGCCTCCTTTTCCATGCATTTGTCTAATCCCTTTTTAAAGCCCTTTTAAGTTGGTGAGAATCACAGCCTGAGAAAACAGAAGCCATAGTCTGACTTTGCACCATGTCCTTCCTTTCATCTGATGCAGATCTCCAGCTTCTTCAGATGACCTGCATTCTAGCACGAGGGATGAAGGAAAAGGTCTATCCAACTTCTCCACGTTAGGCAAAATGTTATAAGTGTCGATCATTTCCCTCCTTGCGTGTCTTTTTTCTAAGCTTAAAAGCCCCAATTCTCATAACCTTTCCTCATAGGAGGAGTTGCTTCAGCTCTCTGATGAAAAAGGAAGAGGCTGCAGCATTTGAAGGGACCCTCTTCACTGAATGCACCACACTGGCTTCTTAAAGAATCCCACTGTTTGGTTAACCTTTCATCAAAACAGATTTGATTCTTCCCATATTATTCCCAAGTGATCTTAAAACAAGCACTGCCTTTCCTAAGCTTAACAGAGGCCTCCAGTTTTTGCAAACAAGCTTGTAGGCCTCAATTCTGTTTTATGGCATGTACTCAAGTATTTCCATATTCCCTGTTAATATAGAACAAATGTAAAACATGCTCTCCAGGGACTTGTTTGGGATTAACTAACAACTAAAATTCTCAATTGACACCATTATTTTTCTGACACCTCTGATAACCTCTCTTGTTACATCTATAAGCCTGCAAAGCTTTTTTCCATAAAGAACGTGTAGAATTCTCTCACCTTCCCAACTTAACCAATGGAAACACCAGTGACTTGAAGCCGTATTTCCCAAACTCCTGATACCTGGGACACATATGGAGTGTATTTAGACTTCCTCGTTTTCTCCACACTTCCATTTAATCCAAAGAGTTTACAACACTTTTAATATGTTTCCACAACTTGACACTTACCTGCTTTACATAAAACTGTTCTTATATTAAGATTTGAGATCAGACCTTCAGCTAGACACTACAAAAAAATTTCACCAGAACACCACATAGTATTTAAACGGGGTAGGACAGATGCCATCTTCTCCTTCTTTCAACAGATGTGAAACATCATTGCTTGCTCCACAAATATCAGGACACACTAGCATTAAATCTGGTCCAGTCTGGAACAAAAGAATGCCAATCTTTTCCCACTTCCTCCACCACTTTGAACATTGACAAAGCCTAAATATTTGTAGAATCTCTCAATTGATAATAGTTTTCATTACATAGCACTTTACTGTAAAATGAGCACCCAGGGAGAAATTAAGATAGAAATAGTTAGTGGATAGAAACAATGTAGAAAATTGAACTAAAGCTGTCCAAATGGAAGAAATGCCATGTACAGCTTGGCACTGATAACATCTGCTGAGGGCACAGAGGCACTTAGCTATCTTCATGGGGAAAGCAAAGAAGTATCAGAACGTGCAATGTTTTATTTTCCATTCTGTCCTTTTCAAACAGGCTAGATTTTAAAAATTTGGTGTTTTGTAGTGCTCTGGATGCGCTTTTTGATTTGCAAACTTTTTTTAAAAAAGCAGCAGCATTAAAATGGCCCCTGGATCTAACAAGTCGCTCATTCCTGATCTGTTGGGAGGGAAAACTCCAGCTAGATTCCACAGAGCAATGCTAAGGGTTGATTCTAAGATAGCAGTTACCAAAAAGGGCTTTCCCATTTCCTCTTCACGTTACAACTCCCCGAGTCTGCTCTGGAACAGTTTTGGAAGGTGTGCATGGGTGGCAATGTAGAGGGTAAGTGGTATTTCTTCCTGCAAGCAGGGCCACTTGGATCGTGTCCTTTTCAGATTACCAGTGCCGTATACTCTTATAGAAGACCGGCTTGGCACAAGGGATACTGTGCCACAAATACGGATTTTGCAGCCCAAATATACACATACTTTTCTTGCATGTTCTCTATTTTCATGCTTTACACTATTCTTCCTCTTTTTAAATTTGCAAAGATGAAGCAAGCAGGCATTTTGAAGAGAGGAAGAGTTGGCATCACAGGCATCCTGGGGAAGTCTCTCTAGTCGGAAAGGGACAGCCTGGAAGAACAAATTGATCTTTCTTGACTTAGAAAGGAGGAGGCCTTTGGGTGCTAATAGTTGGAAGACTGAAGACTCCAGGAAGCATTAAAGGGCACAGAGAGGAGGGGAATGGGAGAGGCAAGGTTTTAAGGACAAGCAATGCATCTTGGGTCCAAGTAGAGATCCAGAGCCAGTAGGGATCTGGGAAGTGATACGGCATGGACCAAATGAAGATAGGGGTAAATAAGAGATTGGCCACAATTTGGAATTTTGCAGCAGGAAAAGAACTAGGGATGATACAAATATCAGTTGGGGACTGTCAAAGGAAAACATGTAGGAAAGAAGCTCTGCCTTCTGAATCTACTCATTGTGCATACTTAGAAATATATGCAAGGAGCAACACTGGGCTAAAATACACTTGTGTAAGAACTTGGGATAGATATTATTGGACTGCCATTCTCACCATCCCTGGCAGGCCAAATACCTGGACAGGGCAGTATCTCCTCTACTTGTCAGAGGCTGTCCCTGGACCATAATGCAGTTTGGCTGCCTCACAAATGGCTGGAAGCGGTGCTCTGTGGAAGCATCTCATGGGTAAGTTTTGTCATACAAATTAATAGCAGATTTATTCTCCCAGTATGGGACCTTACGTAGTCCAGTGGCCCCATTCACCCAAAGAGGAAGATATCAGGAGACATGGCTGAACATTAAGATTAGCAGAAATACAACCCTCCATCCTTGCCGCTCAATGAAGACTAAGCCTGCTATGGGGGAACCAAATGCTTACTGTTGGGGGTAAGCAGGGTTGAAACAGGGTTGAAAGCAGAGAAAGCATGGAATGGAATAGCCTGAAAAGGGGCAGGAAGCCAACACGGAGTACTCCAACACTGAGTTGCAGGTCCCACTTGTTGGAATGAACTAAGAGAACAGCTGCCCTCTCCCCTCCCTTTTCCTAAAGGGCTTTTGCAGGAAATATTTCTAATGGATTGTATCCAACTCTTTATGCAAAAGAATTAAGTTTGGCATTAAAGCTTAAATCTGCCAAGGCAGCACAAAAATGCCCGCAGTATTTAAGAAAACATAAAACATTACAGAATACTAATTAGGCTAGGATTTAAATTCTTCTTGGGATTTACTGTTCTTAGAAAAGAAACCAATTTAAGTCAACAAAGTAATTATTCCAATTAAAACCTTTGTTAAAATTTACTGTGACTTAGAAAGCAACCTCATATGGACATGGTGCTGGTCAATGAACAATTTATTAAAATTATTTACGGGGACCTGTGCCAAGATTTATGGAAGAAGCTTAAATCAAGCAAGGCTAGGCACGCATCCCTCAATGAAGGTAACTATCTGCCTTGAATATTTCTAGAAAGGAAATCTCACAGAGAAAAAGTAATTCCAACTAGGAGGAAAAATGTTTTGGGAAAAAAATCCTCCAAAAAGTCTGCTATCAAAAATATTTGATTGTTAGCTTCCTCTCCCAGAAAGCTCAGATTTGGGAAAGATTAGTAGCGACAGCAAGCAGAAAGGTTTTCAAATTGGCTCTGGATAGGACTAAGCCAGAACTAATCAGCTTCATGTTAGATCTTTTTCTTTGCCATCAAATCAGGTAGTAGATAAATGCTGAGCTTCATTCTGCAACACCAAGTTCCAGAGATGGCTTGCTTTGGATTCATCTAGATTCATGTTTGCTAAGTGCTTATGCACACCCCAGATGAATCTGGGATTGCACTAGGTGCATGAAATACTACCATTAGAGCACTGGGCTCTGAAAATTCAATCACCCACTACAGATACACCACTGAATTTAAGGACCTGACTCTGGTACAGCAAGCAATGAATGATGCTCTCATCCACCACAGCAGTGCTAAGTAAGAGACTCTAATGCCATCAGTGAGAAGCATGATGGACAGCCCCCAACTAAACGATGTAAAGATTGCTACAAACACACGAGGACCAATGCTGTCTTGCACAGGACTTAACTGAAAGTACATAGGCAAGAGGCTACCTTTGAAGCAGACAGCTCTGCCTGCACACCAAACATAGGACACTGCAGCAAAGGAACAGTGCTTATGCAAAACTCAGTAGAGAACATGCTCTCCTGCTCCTTTTCGATGAATGTGCATGGCTCAGGACCACCACCTCAGGGCAATGCAGCCAATGTTAAAGGCGATGAGAATCAGCAACTGGCAGCCCTCTGTCACACCCCATCTCAAGTGCTGCTATCTGCCCCCTACCCCAACTGCCAGCTCCAGTGGAAAACAATGGGCGAGAAGCACCTTTGCCCGTGAGACCTGTCACCGGGCTGTCTGGGGAAGAAGGTAGTTGGGGCTGGCCAGAAACATTGTAGTTCCTTGTTAAAGTGGTCCTCTGTCTAAAGGAGCTGCAGGCCAGGCACCTCTACACATCTAGAGGAGCAAACTGAAATACCAGAAGAAACACTATTCTCTCTTAAAATGTCTCTGTTGCCTAGAACAGACGAAGCCCCTCTGAAGTCAGGTCAAGGAAACAAAGGGAATTTAAACATTTTCATCACTGTGCATATAAATATATATTTGAATTAGGAGGCATGATCTGAGTTTTCACTTTTAAAGTGATACAGTGAACTTTTCACTATGTATATTGGCAAAATTAATGAATTTTATTTACAAATTTATGTTCCAAGATTACAACAGAAAACACTTCAGTGAAATCCCGTATTAACAAAATGCAGTGATTTATTTGTAATGGTATTAAAATGGAACAGACTGACAGTCTCTCTGGCCACAGCCAAGCTATTTCCCAGGCATTGGAGATAATGTGAAGATCTCGTGTTGATTGCAATAAGGCCTTCCAGTTCCAGTATTTCTCTTGTATCTTAGTGGCTCTCTCCTTTCTTGCCTACCACCTAATGGAAGGAAAAAATCACATTAGCACTTAGAGAATAGGCAGACAGAAGGAACGCTTTCACTCAAAGATTACATCGTCTAGAGACTGCAATATATTTTTTCTAGCATGCATTCTAGTAGTGGTGGAAAGCGAAGGGCATCTTGTAAACCTAATTTGGCAAAATGAAAAAGGATTTTAAAAAAAGGGTAAAATGTCAGGATTTGGCCAACAAGGAAGGGTCTTACTCAAATGGTGACTGCAATACAATCAAGTCAAACAGGTTAATGTATCAATGTTGAACTAAATGTCAGGATTGGGGGGAAGGAGAGATCAGAGACCTTACAATGCTTGCGCACCCATATTCAGGCACCTGCACTTAAGCGAACCATACTCAGTGTCCTATTATGGGGTAAAGCTCACAGAAAATCCCATTGCAGAAAGAATGGGCTGTGACATAAACACTATGCAGTGTTGCCATCCGCTTCCCAATATACCCATGAGGTTGCAGAGACTCGAGCTGAAGCCAAACTACCACTCAGAACTCACCCATGGATGGAGGAGGCAACTATTTGAATACTGACTAAACTGGTGATATGATTTTGTGCCAACACAATGAAATTCAGGGTGGCAGAGTGGGACATCAGTGTATGAAGAGTGGCAAGAGTGCTCACCATCTACCGTCGGTTCGCAGACTCAGGGATGCCCCTTCCTGACTGTGCAGGCGGGCAGAGGGATGGGGAGAGGCGTGAGCAAGCTGTGCGGCTTGAGCTCATTCATGCTTAACCAGCCATTTAAAGTTAACTCTGGTTCTATTTCATCAGATGAGGATGAGGGTAAAACATATTCCTGTTCGACTGTTCAATCTATCTTTCCTTTTGTATAGTCAACAGGTTTTCTGCTACCTCTAATTTTGTAGACCCCAGAAAACACACTATAACTTTAACTAAGTAGGTAAAATATTAACAGCCCTCCATTTAATATTAAAATTTTCTGATAATGATAGTATAATTTGATGGTCTGTCTATAATCTGTCATTGCTCTGTATGGCTATTACAACTTACATTTAATGTTATACAGATTCACAATTTAAGAAACAATTCCTACTTCTGTTCAAAAATATGAAAATAAAAGGTAGCCTAGTCTTAAAAGGTAAGTTTGTTCTATACAGTTGCATGCACATATCCACTCCTAAAAGCATCCAGGCCAATGTAGAATTAGGACCTCATATACTGAGTGAATTTTTTAAAATCAAACAAGTTAAGTTTTGATTAAGAATGTTACAAAATGGTAAAACAAAACTGGACAAGGATGTGAGAAATATTTATTCTTGAGTTGTGTTTAAAGCATGGTGCTCCAGTCTGGATTAAGTAATTATACCCACAAATTAGACAATTATGTTAGCAGAGGCAGTGAAACCATCCAAAACAAATCCATCTATACCATTCAGAGGGAGAAATGCTCAAACGGCCCATGTGTATTACCTGAAAAATTAAATATTTTGGCATTGAGATTTGTCAACAGGATTAGAATTACCTGAACGATTCCTACCTTTACAGCAACCATTTTAAAACCATAAGACTAAGAAGATAAAATCAATGGTGCAATGCATGTTTAATCCAGAGTTACAGTACTGGGTTAGATGGCCCGATGACTTATCTTAGTGCAAGGCAGATCCATATATTAATGAAAGATTATTAAAGGGCAGTTCAGTCTTGAAAGGTTTTCAAGGACCTGTAAAAGCTTCACCCATTCTCCCACCCACCACCAAAAAAGAAAAAAAAATCAGGGAAGCTTTAGCAGGCTACCCTGACTGCAGCTGAAAATGCAACCGTTTTCTTCCACTTCCATATTCACCAGTGAGGAGGTAAATAGATTACAGCAATACATAAGTGGGAACACACTGTTGGGTGAAACTTGAAGTATCTATTGGCAGAGTAAAAGCTATACAATGAGTAAAAGAAGAATTTGAAGAGGGTGTATGAAAAACAAAGATGAATCCATGAGCAAAGGATGAGACCAAGGAAAGCTGTCCCAGAAGGTGCAGAGCAGGAAGTGATGACCCCATAAGCAGCAGGAGTGTGGAAAGGAGGCAGGTGCTAGATGAGTAGAGGGAGCGGGGAGAAAGGGGCGGTGCAAGGAAAGGCCATTTAAAAACAAACATCTTCCGCATTTTTATTTCTTTGGGCCAGGGAAATGCTGAAAAATAACAAAAGAGAGTGTTACAACAAAGCAAAGAAAAAAGAAGCCAATGAACGGGGAGGGAGGAACTGTCATGCCACAGAAAAGCTGGAGATGTTTCACATGCGCTTGCACCAAGGATGCACTCAAACCAGATGAAGGGGCAGGAGCTCTACTGCCCCTGCAGGCAACAGTTTTTTGGGCAAATCTATACAGTATACCCCCGGGAAGTCGCGGTTCAGTGTTCGCAGCCTCAGTCTTTAGTGGAATTTTTCTCCGAGCGAGTCCAAGCTGATCTCCTTGCAAGTGAACCGCCGTACGGCAAGGTGCTGGCTTACTCGCAAGGAGATCGTTTCCTCTGAGTTTGGACTCACTCGGAGAAAACAATCTCTGCACGCCCCCGCCCCTGCCTCATCACACGTATGCCTGTCCCCCAGCCCGGCCCTCGCCTCCTGCCGTACCGCCTTGGTGGGCAGCACCCATTGCCGGCACCAAATTCATGATTTTTCACAATTTGCGGGTGCTTTAGGAATGTAACCCCTGTGAATTTCGGGGGACTACTGTATATGGATTGTTAGTTACCCTGGTCTCTTTGCAGAGAGGGATGGTACATGGATAAGAATAAATACAGAAATAAAATATCCTCACATATGATAAAAGTAGGGGTGCAAAAACATAAAATAAAACGGAAGGGTATGTCAAGCCTTAATCTGACATAAGGAAAATGGGCTGCTCTCTGTGCCCGCCCTCACACCTCCCGATCTGAGCCTGCAAAGTTCGAGCAATACATGCAGCAAGCAAAGCATTTCCAAACTTCAGTTAATACTATGGTAGCAAACAAAAATTAAATGCATTTGGATGTGTGTGGGGGCTTACTATTAAATTACACTTTGCATTTAGTTGCCATTCTAATTAATGCAAGAGGGAGAGCCATTAAGATCACCAAAGTGAGTAGCAGGTGAAGGCATGTTGAGGGGCCCAAGGTATGAAGTAGTCCTATCAGCCAGAATTCACTAGGGCCAGCAATGGAGGATCCTTTAGGAGTGGGGGCCACATGATGCCCTTTACCCAGCCCTCTGCAGGCTGTGCAACAGCAAAAAGGAAAGTAGAGAAGCGTTATGAATATGTTATCTATTAAAGTTGCTCCTATCTGAATACACCAAACACTGTTAATACGCCAATACAAGATAAACCATTGTGCCAATTTTGCATTTGCCAAGGACTCAGACCCAGGCTAGGCACAGAATTATGTAAAGCTGTTAAAAGTATTTCCTTTCTTTCCATGTGTACCGTGTAGATAAGCTACTAGTTCTGGAACTCGGGATGCAATCTGGTCCTTGCATGCTCACCACTACACATCTCCAAGGAAGAGATGGACAAGTGGCAGCAGTTTGGCCTCATGGGTTTCTCACCTGTTTGTCATTTTCAAGGTTTTTTCTGACCCTTGTTATGCACCTCAAGATATTAGCGGGATATTAGCCTCCTCCTCCTCCTCCTCCACATCAATTGCTTCAGAGGCTTGCTAATTTGTGCTAGCATCAGCCCAGCATCCTCAGAGCCACAGCTGCCACCTCCAGAGCAGGAGCAAGGGCTCCGTGTCATGCCAGGATCACTCTAGGCAAGCTGCCTCAGCTGCTGCTGCTGCATGCCAAGACTGGCCGATCTGGGGAAGGAATTTTCCATGGAGAACTGTGGGCCACATTTTGCACAGAGAGCATCCTCTTACTGTCATTATCTCCACCCTTTTCCACATACTCTAAATTGTGTGCTTTTTTTAAAGTACCTCTTCAAATATCATAAGAGGCAAAAGTGATTTCAGTATTCTTCCTCCTTTTAGGATAACTTGCAAACTAGCCTAGAGTCCTCATCATTGATTTTATAATACACAATGAAAAGGAGAAGGGAAAAACAGATCTCCCAGAATAAACAAGTTTGTTGATTTTTCTTGCCTCATTTCAAGATGCTAATGCAGTATTAAAGTAAACATAACCACAAATATATTTTCTTTTATTAAAAATGCCTTGTTTCCACAACTTGGCTGATTAACTGGATATAAGGACATTAAGTGATGCAAGATGGATAATTTTGTAGCTATGATGATGATCTCAGACAAAAGGGTTGTACCTTTAATATTTGTGTCACATAGTTTTAGTAGATGCAACTTTTCCTCCTGCATGACAAGCTGCACTTAGTAAAACATATTCTTTCAACACATATATGAAAAATGCAGAATTCATCTCTTCTATTGCATCTGCTCACCCTACTAACTATCCAAATCTCTCATTTGTGGTTGCACTAGGATCTAAAATCTCCTGAATACTCAGTTGTCTTCTTGCTGTTTTTGTCCTGTTTCTGAAAAATGGTTCTAACATGGGACACAAAATATTAACTGGGTAGACAAACGTTTCTGAAGAGGACAATCTGTAATAAAAATCATTCAGAAGTATTTATGCACAAACACTAGCCCAGTTACAGTCTATGACACACAGCAAAATCAACCTTGATCACATAAAACAAATGATCAAGTTTTCCATGGAGCATACATTTCTTCTATTTCTTCAAGAGTTCTGCATAACCTACAAACACACCATGCACATTTTCAACATGTAAATATACTTATGCCAGAAACTGCAAAGGGTTTTTTCTGTCTTATTCAACTTCCAGCTTTTCCTCTAGAAACTTAAGCCTCATCTAGAACCTACCGTAGGCAATGCGTGGCACCCCAGATGTTTTGCCATGAAAGTTTACCACCCTTCATCACTGGCTAGAGCTAACGGGAGTTGTGAGCCAACACTGGTCCCACACTGATGCAATGGTTACCTAGCCAAGTGGTACCCAAATGCCGCTGCCTTATATTACTGCACTCCTCATCACCTATCTAAAAGACAGACTAATTGCTAGATGAGCTTTATTCATCACATCCGTGTATTCACTACATGGGCTAAGAATTTGGACAGTTCTATGCCCCAAGAGTGTCAGGATGGACGTGTGTGTGTGTACACGTGTGCGCACATGCGCGCGCGCACACACACACACACACACACACACACACTTTTTTTAAAGGGAAAGAAATTTCTAGCCTTCATAATTGCTGAGAAAACTTGAAAAAAATGTGTCAAAGGCTGAAAAGCTAGAAGGAAGCCTAAGGGACTGACTTGAAAGACAAGTTTACTCACCATTTCCATTATGTCTCCTAGTTATCTTTCTCGCTTCTTATGCTCCCCCCATTACCATTTGCAAAAATAGTTCAATTTGGAAGAAAAAGAGCAATATTATGCAAGAGGATAGATGTCTTTTATACAGCACACTAGTTGTGTGTGGTTTTTTAAAATATCAACTTGGCCCTGGCTAAAGTGCCACAGAAGTATATGTTAGCCACTACTTTCCAAACAGTTTTTTCCCTCTTATAATACACTCTGAACTTCTGAAGATAAAAACAACCATTTCTGGAAAACTCTGTTTAAGGTATCTTTATAAGCTTTCTAAAGGAATTTTGTGTTCCTCACAGTCCAAATAAATAAAGACAGATGCAACAGACCGAAGAAAATATCTGTCTCTGTGTGGGAAAACAAAACTAATGTATGCAGTGAGAATCTGAAGAATTTAATGCATCTGACCTGCACAAGCTATACAGCTATGGAAAGCAACTCTGCTAATAATGGCACCCCCTTTCAGATTCTGAAAATTTCAATCCAGCCTCAGATTTGAACTTACCCGCTTAAAGTCATTCATGTTTGTTGCTTGGACAGGTGTTCCAATAAAAGTGAAATATGCAATTCTTGTTGTTTCTTCATCACCTTGATTGGACTGGACAAATAACTGAAACAGAAAAAACCAGCACTGAGTTATATGATCTAGAGCCAACAGTTCATGAAGTAGCTAGTTTCTTCGAAGTTTTGAGAAAAACAAAGATAAGCCAGCCTATGCTGAGCAGTCTACTTGAAAATGCCCCTTTAGAATTGCTATGGGAAAATATTTTTGAAATAAATGGCAGGACACCTGTCTGTTGTAGGCGTTGAACCTGGTGCTTGAGGGATGCCAGCTAGCAGGTCACCACCACCAAGCTTGGGCTCAAGGAAAGAACTGCCCCAGCATTGCGCAAATCCGCTTATCTTAGTAAGGTACTCAGGAAAAACACTCTTCTCATCTAAGCGCTCCTTTGCATTGAGGTTTGGAGAAGGAAATGCATGAGAAGAAGCCTTACCTTTTCCAAACAGCAGTACAAATGAAAAAAAAAAGTCAGTCTCCCAGTCTCTTACGTCATTCCAGAGAAGCTGGAAAGGAATGAGGGGCTGATGGAAAGCACAAACTGATATAGTTGCGCAGCCAAAATAACAAACAGGTAACAGAGCAACAAACAGAACTGGAAACCTCTCTACAAGCAACAGGTGAGACAAGGTTTCATGATACTGCCAAAATCTTATAAATACTACCAGGTCAGACAATACCATTCAATCCAGTCTTGCTTATTGCTTGTAGTCTAATAAACAAACAGGAATAGCAAAGGGACTCTGTTGCTCCTTGTAACAATCTTATTTTGCCTGCCCAAATACATCTTCACTTTGCCCTTCTCCCACAAAGTTGACAAAAGCTGAATTTGTCAAGACTGCCTGCCTGAGGCTCACAGGTCACTTCTAAGAGTGGCACAAGTTATGCCTGGACTCAGGAGCTTTTTTTTTTTTTTTTGCTTTTGGCTAGCAGGAGTGCCTTTCCTTTTCCATTTAATAAGTGGAAACTGCTGAAGTATGGGAAAGAGATAACAGAACAGATGCCATTTTGCTCCAAAAATCTGAGTGTCTTTCAGGTCTCTCGCAACGGCAAGTTTTCAAACCAGGCTGAAATGGCTAGAAGGCACAGTATTTTATTTTTTCCTCTAAAATTCCACTTAATATTTTTCTTCTTTCCTTTTTACAATCCAATGCGTGCACACATCCATGATCAGTTGTCAGAGGACAACAGAGCAAGTGCAGCTGCTTTCTTTCTGGTCTGGAAAGCAGGTGGTGGGTTGGAGGACCTAATCAAGTTTCAAGTGGGGCTGCAGGATGACTGCAAAAGCAGGGATGCACAGGCAAGGAAGCCAGTATGAGCTTTGAAATTGCCTACTCAGTCCATTACAAAGCAAATTTTCCCTTTCCTTTTTCTTTTGGAGTGAGGCGGCACAGAATCTTGTTGACAGGGAGATATTTGAAAGGAATGTATTCTCAGGATGGGAGTGGAGAGTTCTAGGAGAATAAGTGTGGTGGGGAGGGAAATAGATGAGTGCAAGGGGAAAGAGGAAAGAGGGAAAGAAATTGACCAAGCAGCACCAGAAGGAAAGAGTGAGGATGGTGCCGGCAGCCCCAGTGTCCCCGCATCCAATCTGTAGTATTACCAGAAATGAGAGGGAGAGAAAATAAAAGAAAAACATTGTCAGCACCATTCGACAGCCACTTCCCAAAAGCCTGCTCTGGATTTTTCCTGCAGACTAATTCAGCTGCTGTGATGCACCCCCATTCCTGAGCGCTCTTGCCATCATGTGGGCTTGCTGAAAGCGGTCTAAAGTTCAAGAATATGCAAGGATTCAGTGAAGAGCAGAACCTCTGAGAAACAATTGAACTCTGCCAATTACAATGGGAGAGGCAAAGATTCCTGATGCTACATGTTGAAGATCTCCTTGGGAGTCAGTCCTCTGAACAGTTACATTATTACATCAATCAGAATGGAGTTCAAGGCTATGTACTCACAGTTACACTGTTCACATTCTGAAACTTTACATAGCGAAGTGGGATAATACTGTCTTCTTTAATATCATCTGGCGTTAATTCCAGAGCCTGAGTGGGTTCACTTCTTTCTGCTTCTTCAAAATCCATTGATCGAGGGAGGTTGATAAACATTTTTACATACTTTGGACCTTGACCTGTGATGAAAGAGCATTTATATAAACCTGGAATGTATTTTGAATGTTCTCCTGGGTAAAACGATTCTACAGAATCAAAAAATGGAGACCGATGCATCATTAAGTCCGATCCCCTCAACCAAGAAAAGCATCTGCTATCTAGAAACAAGTGCCTACAGGAGCCATGGCTACGAATAATACAATTACATTTTTACATATTACATATTTATATTTTAAAACAGGTGGGGAACGTTTCTTCATCTTGATGGCTAAATTTCAATCTGGGGAAGGTATCAGGGGTCACGTTTCATCAGTTGGCAGCCCAAATGCAAAGTGAACAGGGCGAATATGTGACCATTATTAAGTTTAAACCTATTCTGAGACAGGGCAAACTGTCCGTGCCTCTGCTTAAAAGTAAGTAGTACTGAATCATTCAACAGAACTTTCAAACAGCAAAAAGGCCCACTTTCTCCCTGTGCAGCAAGGAAAAACTATTTCTGATCAGCTGCTGATTGGAAGTAAACACTTTTCTCTAGTGGGAAGAAACTAGAGAAGAACACATGGGAACCCCCACCCGCAATGGACTATATCCAGCTTATGGGTCCCTCATCCCTGTTTTAAAACTCTGAAAAACACAGAGAGCAGAGCCATACAGATGGAGCATCGGCAGTGACTGCATATAAGTGGCTTCTCCCAAAGGAAGACCCCAGTTTACTCACCATTATCAGGCCCCTGAAATTTCATAGAATAAAGCTTGACAGGCTGATTAAAAGCAACAGTAATAAGCAGCTGTGGAAGAAGCAAAAAACAAAAAAAAAATCTATAAGTGGAAACTCCAATGAATTGAGAAACACCATTATTGCAATTCTTTCCCAGAGGGTCACAGCCAGTTTAGATCTAGGGAAGCTTTCTTACTCACACACACACACGAGGATCATTCTAGTCAAAATACTATCTTTGTTCTTTAACAGTAAAGTTGTAATATTCTTTGGAAGTTAAAATACCTGCTCATCACAGTCTGATTCCAGGTAGGTAGAGTCTTTACGTAAACAGTTATCAAACCCGTGTTCATCGCTTTCGTTAAGGCATTCACAGCCAGCTTTATTAACAAATGGCATCAAATCCATCTGGAAGGAAAGGCAGTTGCATTGATTACCTGTCAGGGCTTCACATGTGTAACAGCAGAATACGGATGCAGAATAATATAGAGAACACTCATCATAGGGAGGGAATACATATGTTGATTCTACTGATACTTTCCAAAAAAGCCCATACTATATATACCGGAATACACCAAGCATGCTTCTGCTTGCCTTAAAGTATTACAAAGTTCCACGTCTCTCTACCACCTAAGATGGGGGTCTCAAACTCAGCTTACCTGGGGGCCGCTGGAAGTAGAGGCTGGGTGAGGCTGGGCCGCATCAAGTATTCCACCACCGCAGTGGTGGTGGGCCGCTCATCCCGTGGCCGGCCCGGGCGCCACCGGCGCTTTGAAGGCCGCAGGGCCCCTCCCCTGTGCCCCGCACGTCCCGGCAACTGGCCCGTGGACAGCAAGTTTGAGACCCCTGACCTAATATAACACATTCAGCTTCACACCTTTGTGAGCAATGCACAGATTCAAGTTTTTCCTCTTCCCTCCCTATCCTGGGTTCCTTCTCCATTTTCTCTTAGAGGGAAATCCAGTATTCTGGAGGCAGAAATCTGCTCATGGAACAGGATTTGCTCCAGTGCTTCTCCTTCTAGAGTTCTGTTCCAAACTGTTTCAGAGGGTTCATCAAACCTTTGGAGAATATTTTGATGTTGTCCAAAGGGATGGGGGAAATACCCTCTCCCAATTTTGCTAACAGAATCAATTTTATTGTGGATACATTCCTATTGCTATGCTTATTTTAAAGCTGCAAAGTGCCTCAAGTGTTTTGGTGGGAAGAATACACATAAATGCAGTAAATAAAAGCAAAGAATAAAACAGACATATGAACACAAGCGGGGAAATCTATTCACCTAAATTTGAAAAGGTAGCCCACCTATAATTCTGTAACTCTACATTTGTATTATTCAAGACAATTTTAAAAGTTTTAGAACCAAGTCCTGGGTAAACAGCAGAATTGGTTGCCTCTTCTGTAGGAAAGGCTATACTGCACATTTAACAATTAGCATAACTATTTTCAGGTCACACTAGAAGCAGTATGTACAATGATACAGACAATATTGGTAAATTTGAACTGCTGCAAACTTAAGTGGCCCATATTCATTGGGTTATTTATATAAGAAAGACTCATCTGACTAGGCAAACTGAGTTGTATTTGCATTACAAGGTTTGTGACTGTGTCCCTGGCTGTGAAGGTAAAGTATTTAACATCTGAAAAGAAATGTGCTTTTGCATTTAACATAATTCTGCATTTCTGCAAACAGAAATGAAGATAATAGCTCAAGTTGAACATTTTATCATATTAAGAAGAGAATCAGGATGGCAGAAAAGAGTATCAAGGGGCAGAATCAGTCAGAAACAATTTTCCTCCTGGACTTGTCACAGAAAGATAAAGGATGCACTGCTCAGGGCTGCTGCCCTGCAGAGATTTTCCCAAAGGACTGTGTTCCCAATTCACAAACACTTGAGAAAACAAGAAACAAAACCGGGGAGCAAGGAAAGGGAAGCAAATTAGCCTTTTCCCTCTAAGTAACTCTGCTGTATTCATTTTAGAGAAGTTCATTCTTTTTTGTATACAAAAGAAAGAAAACACACATACAGCCTAGAAGCTACCAGTAAGCAATGCTGTTTTACAAATGCAGTGTTGAATTTAGGCTGGGTTGATCCATGAATTTATTCTGCACCACTGGACAAGCAGTATCTCTCAACCCAAATTACACTTCCGCAAAATTCAAAGAATGTGAACATAAGGGGTAATTTTTTGTGCTCAGTGGCATCTGAACTTAGCACTCTTGGTAGTTCAGAGAAAAACACATAGTGCTAGTTCATGAAACGCAACCATGGAACAAACTAACGCAGAAACAAGCAGTCCAGATGCAGCTCACTTCATTGCTCATTTTTGGCTCCAACTACCCATATTTTCACCAACTCATGGACAGCCATTACATGTGAACTTCGCTTTTATATCTCTGTTTCAAGTACAGCTTCATATGCAGCCTCAGAGGCTGTTTTAAAAAGTTCCTAACTTTCTGGGGGAGTTTTTTGAGGAGCAAGAGGGAAAGATGAACCTCAGAAGCTTGACAAGCATGGGACGGGGTTCCTGCACATGTAGAGATGCCCTGTTCTGATCTCTGGGATCCCGCTTTGAGAACAAACAGCAATCTTCTGTAAGTAAAAGCTAATAGTATAATGGTCAAATAAAAAGTGCATACATATCCTTTTGGAATATCAGTATCCTCATTATTTCCAGGATCATTTTCTAGATGTTGCTTGATTTTTTCTTCTAATCCCACAGCGTCAGCGCCTTGGTACTGGTCAATTCGCACTTTGTTCCGGAAGAAAAGAAATGTTGGTGTTGCTGATATATTATTGGTTGCGGCTGTTCCCTGGCATTCAGAAGTCAATAATTAGCATTGTTTAGCAAGATTTTAATATTTTCAACATAAGCAACAGATGACTCATCCAGAGGAACTGCCATAAACACTACAAACTGCAGTATGCTTGCTTGCATTTAAATGAGGAGCTTAAAAGTTCACTGGGAAATAGCCTGGAACAAAAACCTTCCAATAGAGAAGAATGTCTGCATAGTGACCATAAACTCATTTGGCCATTTAAGGTAGAAGTAACAGTAAATGAGGCAATGGCAGGTTCTACAACAATGTTATAGACACTGGCTCAATTCAGGTATCATTCCAAAAATAATAAAGGAAACATCATTTTGTTAACTATGGTTTGGCAAATGATGATCACTGTTTCATTTGTAGAGGCTGCTATGTCATGAAGATGAGGGTGAATTTACAAACTCAACAACAGAAAAGCTAAAGTGGAAAAGCAACTCTAAACCATGATTTGGTGTCTCATCTGAATTAAGGTGCTGCATTTATAATGACATTTTTAACTTAAGTAATTGGTATCCCTTAACCATAGTTTATTAAGCCAAAAGTGCGTGTTGTAAATTGCCCAGACAGCTTTGGCTATTGGGCACTATGGCAGTGAAATGAAAAAATATTTTAAAATATCAAAAATGTGTGCACATGCATCTCTTCCTCTGCCTGTGCCTGCCTTTTATTCTGATTTCCTGTTACATTCAAACTGGGAAAGCGGCTAAAGCTCTGACTACTATCCATAACATGAAACCTGGTTAAAAACCGTAAAAGAGGCAATGAAGCTTATGCACACATCAAAAAACAAGGGGCACATGTTCATGCTTCATAAACTATGAGTTGTTATGCTAAGATTGTGTATGACCCTATCAGCTATTTGGAGTGGAGCTTTTTTTTAGAGATTTGTGAAAGCTTGATAGTGGAATTCACAGATCTACTGTAGAAAGGAATTGTCCATAGGTAAAACAGGGTGAAAAGCACTCTGTATGTTGTATATTTTTTTTCTCCACAAATTGAAGTGTATTATGATCTTGGTTCTGCTTTTCCATACCTCTTTAGATATGGCAAAATCCCTATATATAATCTCAACTTACACATAAGACAAGTAGATTTAAACTAGTAAATATACTCAAGAAAGGACAATGAGGGCCTGCTTTATCCTGAATCATTATGGAAAGAGCAACATGCTATTACAAGGTGCAGTGTCCAGTGTTGCCTTCCACAAGAGGAACCCACCACTATCTGTGCTCTACGAGTGGCCAGCCCTGCTGATTTCATGGAGTGGCCCAATTCCAGAAGCAAGCATTTCTACTCATTGCTGATTGCCCTTGGAAGTCTTTAATTTTCATTGCACAAGAAGTTATTAAGCTGACCACCTGCAGGTGCAGATACTGCCCCATATCCCTCATATTCCCAACTTCTGCTTCTAAGTTTCTTCACACTTGCTGTAAAGCCAACACACCATCTGAAACTAAACTGCTTTAAAATGGTTGTTTTATGTTTAAACCCTACTGAGAATAAGGATAAGACAGCTCTTGCTCAATACCCAAGTTACCATTAGTTCTTAAGAGGGACTGCATAGCAGCTCTTTAAAGGTTTAAATTTAATAATGTAAGCCTTATGGTACAACTAGCATAGTTAAATGTTAACTATATCTCTGCATAATTAAAAGATCTTTTATTGGATGAATTTAATGAGTCTATCAGGCAATACTACCAAGCCTGTTATAAGGATCTAAAACTCCACATTATACAATATTAGAAAAACAGTTTGGTATCGCACATTACTTGGCACCAGGTCAGCAGCAAAGAAGCAGTTTCGCTACCAACAAGCAGGAAAGCAGACCTGGCAGCTCCGAGATGGAATGGGGCTGCAGAGGATGGAAATGAAACCACTCTAACCCAGCTGAATTGATCATGACTATCTGCATACTATAACCATACAACATGGCAGAGTAGGCAGTGCATGGAGCTACTAGCTAGTTACTGCTAGGCTATCAAAATGCAGCTTCAGCAGGACCCTTGAATCACTATTACATAACATTAATATCCCTTTACTATTATGCAATGTTCACATTCCATTCTTCTACTAGTAAGTACACAGTACAGGAAAACAAAACATTACATAAAAACATAAAGTATTAAAAACACAGAATTAAAGAACAATGAAAAGCTGCAGTTAGTTGTTAAGAACAGCAGGAGAACAGTTACTGGCTTTATTTGGATGTCAAGCTTATAGAGACAAGAATGAGGCTCTCTGAGCTGAGGGCTGATGCATACACTGCTTCATCCAGGACAGACATGACAAATTTGAAAGCTTTCATTTCACTACTAGTTTAGATTAACTGCAGTTTCTTATGTCTCCCAAACTGGAATAACTATGGTTAATCTTAAATATGGTTCATTTGAACCTACTGCAATCTATGGTTGCAGTATGCAGTAGGTATATAAACCATGGTTATGAAGTTGACTTAATATTAACATTAAACACAGTTTAGTGTTTGGATGACACACTGAACTGTGAATAATAGAAAACAGAGAAGAAAGCTTTCAGATTCTTTCTTGTTTCTGTGCTGGAGAACAACTTAGGAAGGCAAGGAAGCATGAAAATGAGACTCATTGCATTTTATTCGCATCACACTAAGTAAAAAGCTCAGAGTAACATTTGAAGATAGTCATTAAAAGTCTGTTTGACTAAGCCCTTTCCAATTTCTGTCTGAAAGCAGAGAACAACATCACCTCACTGCTAACAAGAACAAACATATGAAAAAGAGGCAGAAGCGACTTAATTATTTTTATGCATCTATGGAGACCTGAGTGGCAATTCAGGGCAATTATTTTGCCTTCCTGGGTTAAACTCCAGAAAAGCCATATTAGGAGTTTTCCTTTTCTGAATGAATTAGAAAAAGAAATTGACATTTGGTTTTGAATAGTTTCCCTGACCATTCCGGACACCAAAATGGGGGAAAAAACAAAACCAAGCCAAACAAGAGGTCTAGTACTCTTTTAAAAATGTTATTTAAAGTTTATAAACATATTTTAATTTTATTTTCATTCTCAAGCCACATTCCCTGCATCAGCAATTCCAAGAGGTGAATAGATTCCATACTGCAAGGAAGAATAACTAGGCCCAGTGGTCTGATGGGGTTTAATCTTGGTTTTTAGTGGCAACCCTATAGCTTAATCATCCTCACTGTGCGAAACAGCCTTCCAAGCAAATGCCTATCACATCAGGGAAAACATTGAAAGCTACTTCTTCTGATACATGTCTCAGTTCCAGCTGATTCCTGTTTCCAATACAGTCATCTACATCCACAAAGAAAACTCACCTGGCACTGATGTACATCAACTTCCAAAAAAGTGGCTTGTGGATATTTATTGCTCAGAGCATTGAAAGCTGGAGCTATCCTTAAACATGGGCCGCATCTGTCCAGAAAAAAAGAAAATATCTGCATAAATGCCACCATTTATCACTCAAGTAGTTACAGCCACCTTTGAGATTTACTTTATAATGCAGGCTGGTACTAGGCACGATGGAGATTTTATGGCTAGCACTGAAAGCAACAGCCCCATACCACCATCTCTTCCTCTTCATTCCACATACTATGCTAAAATGATGTAGCATCATCAAGCTCTGTTAAAGAAACGTGGAATATAAAATAAATAATCACCATGTTGCTAGTTTTCCTTCCTGTCTAGTTTACCTGTGGGCAGATAAGCTCACAATGTCATAAGACCACATCAAGGTTTTGGCTGGCTACATGTTAAGGAGGAGGAGAAGCAGCCCTGCTGCTTTTGTCTACAGCCAGTCCGTGATCCCCATAATATCTCAGTTCAGCCTAAAGAGGTACCTAACCATGCTCTACCTGACTATGTAACTGTCTCTCAGCAAGATGCACAATGAAGCATACCGCTGGCCTCTGAAACGTGAATCAATTTCTACTCAATTGGAATCCCACAGTGATGTCTCCCTTTTCTTAGCACACCATGTTTTTATTTCTAGAAACTTAGAATCCCAGGTGTGCCCTGGAATAGTAAGCAACCAGAAAGCCATTGGGATACTCCCCAGGCTCCAAATGAACAGTATCTAACTTTCGGATGATGTAACATTCTTTGCTTATTATAATGCACTATTCAGCAGAGAGTACAAGGGAACACCTTTGCCTCTCTCCCACTCCCTCTCTCCCTAACATGCATTTCTAGTCAATTTTACACACGCATTCAACTAATCCTATATTCTCTGTACTGTAGTGCCCATATTTCTACTCACACTTTCCCAGTCAGGTATGGACATATTTTGGTCGGCTTTTATTAGCAAATGGCAGCAAACCCCTCCCTCCTCTCCTCTGTGTCACCTCTTTTTGCAGAGGAAGGGCTCATCTCTTATCTTGTGCTGAGCTTCAGAGAAAGGCAGAAGCGGCAGAACTGACTTGTATTACTTGTACCCTAAGCCAAAGAACAGGGCAGATTTCCCACCCCAAAGTCCTTCACACAATTCCAAGAGCTACTTCACTCTTCAGAATGCTTGCAGAAGTACGTATCTGCTAGCCAGAATGGCCTTGTCAAAAAGAGCAAAATTCTTTCTTCTGCTGCTGACTGGAAGTAAAAATATAGCATAATAATGTCCATCAACATCAGTAAAGGTGAAAGCAGTACACTGACATCAGGAACAATCCCAAACAAAGATCCAAACAACCACCACCCACAGGAAAGTTACATGAGAGTAGAATGAGATGGTCATAAACTGTCTATCAAAATGATTGGGAGGGAGAAGAGAATTTTGTGGAAAACCTACAAGTTTTTCTCCTCAGTAATTAGAACTATCACTTCTTGTTGCCCTCCCCAGCTTTCATCTCTCAGCTTTCACTTTGATGATCTGTCTGTCCTAGGACACAGCATACTTAAATGCCACAAATATTTTGTTCTACTTTGGCTTTTCTATTTGGTTACAAGTAGCTCCTAAGAGCCTGTGTTGAAAGCTGAATTACGGCAAAGTCAGGAAAATACCACTACACTTAAGCCATTCACTTATCACTACTCGTAGCTCTGTAGTTCAGAACCAGCAATTTTCACTATATAACTGTTTCTTTACCAGTGATGTCCTGTCACTTTTTGTGGTAAAAGTAAATTAAGAATGGTTTCTTAAAATACTCAGTGGACAAGTTAACATGACAAAACAAGCAACAGCAGTTTCTTGTGCAGGGTAGTCTGCTGGGTCATCCAAACCCTGTTGTGGCATGTCAGCATGGCATGCTTGGGTTTTAGAAACCACATCAAGAAATATTGATCTATTCTATGGTTTCCATGCTTTACCATGTTTTTTCTGGTTGTCTTAACATTGTGGTTGCCATGGGCCTGGTATGCAACCACCACAGAACTCCTGGAAAAAGTGGCAGCTGCTCCAGCCATCCAGTGAAGAATTGAATTTCAGGTATGGTGGCTGATGGGATATGTGCCAACAGCAAGAGGATAGCGCAAGGAGGGTGGAAACCATGCTAGCACAGAAACTACTCGATTGTCAGTCAGGCACAATAAGGCAATAACCAAATCAAACTCACACACCTTGGAAATTGAATGATACTGTAGCAACATTATTACTAGATTAGCTTTATTCATTCCTGCAGCCACAACTGAACAGGCCGAAGGAATAGTGAAAAACAGGACAGCGAATTTCAACTGAGGGCCGGTCACCTGGCAAGCCTAGAAAGAGCAAATTCAGCCTTCTTCACCTTGAAACCCTCTAGATCCCTAAACGTTGTCCATGCTGATTGGGGTTGATGGAAACTGTAAACTGCAAAATTGACAAGAAGCCAAGATGGGAAAGGCTGAGCTAGCCATTTGACTAGTCAAACAACTGTCAAGTATTTGAATGAAGGTAACAATGTCAGATCAATGAAATTGAATATTAAAGTATTAAATGTAGTTAACAAAGTTATGTGAGTATCAAGGGTCAGTGAAATTCAAGGGGTCAAAACAGCTCAAGGCCTTCCATAACAAATTTTGCTATTTGTTGCTGTTAGTTGCAAAGTTGTGTCCAACCCATCACAACTCCATGGACAACATTCCTTCAGGCCTTCCTGTCCTCCACCATCCCCCGGAGTCCACCCAAGCTCACACCAACTGCTTCAGTGACTCCATCCAGCCACCTCATCCTCTGCCGTCCTCTTCTTCTTTTGCCATCTATTGTTCCCAGCATTAGGTTCTTCTCCAGGGAGTCCTTCCTTCTCATTAGGTGGCTAAAGTATTTGAGTTTCATCTTCAGGATCTGGCCTTCTAAAGAGCAGTCAGGGTTGATCTCCTCTAGCACTGACCGGTTTGATCACCTTGCATTCCAAGGGACTTGCAGGAGTCTCCTCCAGCACCACAATTCAAAGGCCTTAATCCTTCGGTGCTCAGCCTTCCTTATGGTCCAGCTTTCACAGCCATACATTGCAACTGGGAAAACCATAGCCTTGACTATACGCACTTTTGTTGGCAGGGTGATGTCTCTGCTTTTTAGTATGCTGTCTAGATTTGCCATAGCTTTCCTGCCCAGGAGCAAGCGTCTTTTAATTTCTTGGTTGCAGTTCCTGTCTGCGGTGATCTTGGAGCCCAGAAAAATAAAATCTGTCACTACCTCCATTTCTTCCTCATCTATTTGCCAGGAACTGAGAGGACCAGATGTCATAATCTTAGTTTTCTTAATGTTGAGTTTCAAGCCAACTTTTGCGCTCTCCTCCTTCACCCGCATCAAGAGGCTCTTTAGTTCCTCTTCACTTTCTGCCATTAGAGTGGTATCATCTGCATATCTGAGGTTGTTGATATTTCTCCCAGCAATCTTAATTCCAACTGGTGATTCATCTAGCCCCGCCTTTCTCATATAAGTGAAATAGGCAGGGCAACAGTATACAGCCTTGCCAAACTCCTTTCTCAATTATGAACCAATCGGTGGTTCTGTGTCCAGTTCTCACTGTTGCATTGCTAACTATAACACAAAGAAAATAACCCCCCGCCAAAATAATATATATAAGGGTTGATTATGGCAGAAACTGCAAAGTGCTGCTTAGACATTAAGTGGGGTAGTTGTCTCTGGTAGTGACATGGGTAAGGGCGTCAAGGGGCTTTTTATTACATTTGCCAAATGGCATATTCACTACTTCCCATGACAGGATCCATTTCCCAGATTCACTGTAGGTTCAAAAACCCACAGAACAAGGCACGGGTTGTCAAGTAGTATATTGCCTAAAGGAAGCCACCCTGTGCTAATGACCCAGTTTTACATGACACAGACAACACCTTGTGGCTAATTACCAATGATGGATTGCCATGTTGCATGAACCCAGTTACTGAGTTAGGAACGTAGGAAGTTGCCTTATACTGAGTTGGACCATCTAGCCCAGTGTTGTCTACATGGACTGGCAGCAGCTCTTCAAGGTTCAGGCAGTGAGTTTTCTAGCCCTTTATGGAGATGCTAGATCTGGTGCCTTCTGTACATTGCAAAGACTCTTAACCTTGAGTTACTGCCCACCTCACCAGCATACAAAGGTAAGAACTCTGTGATATCAGGTCAGGGCCCCACCTAAGTCATGTTTCTCACCATAGCAAATTAAATTTCAATTGGTTACATTCACATTCCAGCTTTCTTCCATGGTGTTCTAGGCAGTTCTGCCATTCTAGCCCATGGTGGCCCACAAATGGGGCCCCCTTCCACACTGTTTGTCTCAGCACTTAGTTTTCAGAGATGCCCTGCATCTGAATACAAAATCCCACTGAGAGTTATTGTAGTCAGAGTTATTGTATTGTAGATCTCTTCTCCTCTGTGAATTCCTGCAAACAATTGATTCTTAACTGCAAAGTCATGTCCTCTTTACTGATGACCTGTAAGCAGTCACCCCTATTTGTGATAAAAAGTGCACTGCAGCTTGTCTAAACTGACTGTTAATTTAATTTCCAAAGGGAAGTCCAGAATAGCCTGCTGTTAAACAGAAAAAGAAGGAATGGAAAAGAAACACCATGATAACAAAAAATCTTGGAGCAGCTTTAAAAACACATGGACTCTAACTGATACAGTCTAAGTAAGTGCATGTTAGAATGTGTAGCACCACAAGCTCTTCACTGCTTCAGTTTCATTACTGGGGTAGAAGTGATGCCAGGCCATAAAGAAAACGGATACTGTACCACTTTCTATTTTACAAAAACTATAAAATATAAAATGTTTCTCTTATTTACAGAGGGTAAGAAAGTGCTCCTTAAATCCACTCTGTCCAGATCATTCATAACACCTAAGCCTCTGTCACAGTCCTTCCCAACCTGGTTTGCTCCAGATATTTTGAACTACAACTCCCAGGATTCCTGAACACTAATGAGACCGTCCAGGGACTATTTTGTAGTTGAAGGTATACAAAAGTTTTAAATAAACAAATAAACCATGCTAGCTTGGACAGATGGAAGCTGGAGGTCACCATGATGGGGGAAGAGCATTTTCATCATTCCCTTCCTGTTGCCTTCTACCTTCTTACCCTGAAACAATTCCACCTTCAATTCAGTAAGAACTACATCTGCGGGGACATGTGGATGTCAAAACTAATGAAAATATGAATAATTAAAACACATACATGCTGCAATGTTTAGAATGGTGCATGGGGACTCAGGAAATCTGGATTCAAGTCCCTACTTGGCTATGGCACTCAGAGGGTGACTTTATGCCAGTCACCATCTCAGTTTGTCCTACTTCACAGGATTTTTGTCATAATAAAGCGGAGAAATAAGAACTATGTTCTAGGCTCCTTGAAAAAAGGGGGGGGGGAAGCAGGATATAAACAGAACAATTAATAAGCCCACCCAGATGATGGAAATGTTGAGAGCTACACTGCAGAGCAGTAGCAGCTGGGAGTGCTGGGCTGATCTAAGTTCAAGTCCCCATTGGGAGATTTCGGGCCAGTCACGGACTCCGCGTCTAGCCTACCTCACAGGGTCGTTGTGAGGATACAATGAAAAGGAGGAGGGGGCCATGTAAGGCGGAAAATAAATGCAACCAACTAACCAACCAAACAAAAGGTTAGAGAAACCCCCCAGCCCACCCTCCAACGCTTTGACAGGGCGGGGCAAAAAGGGACGGTTCCCAGCACGGCCGTGTTCGTGGGAGGCCCCCGAGGAGGCGGCTCCCGGGCGGGGCGGCGGCGGCGGCCCCGGAGGCCTCCCGAGGGAAGCAGGCCCGGCCGTGCCCCCTCCCCACGGCGCCCCACTCACCCCCGCATGGTGAACTTGGCCACGACCAGCCGGGAACCCGCAGCGCTCAGCTCGCTCTGGAACTCCGCGTCGTTGGCGATCACCTTCACCCCGACCATCGCGGCGGCGGCGGGAGAGCGGCAAGACAAAGCACCGGCGGCGGCGGCGGAAGAAGCGGCGCCTCGTCGCCCGGTAAGTGCACCGTCACCGCGGGAAGATGGAGTGGGGGCGGGGGGGAGAGAGAGGCAGTGAGAGACAGAGAGAGACGGGCCCAGCATGCACCGCAGCAACCCTCGCGCAGGCGCAGAAGCCTCTGCCTGCCTCCGCTCCTCTCTTCTAGCGGAGGCCCTCGCCCCGAGAATGATTAGCGTTCATCTATAGAGATAGTAAATAAGGGCGCAACTCCGACTTCCGGCAAAAAAAAAAACCCGACTTGGAAAGGAAAGCCACACACTGGCTACTGTCTTTCTATGAGGAGTTCTAACCCGTCCTCTTGTTCTCTTCATGGGGTTGGAAGTGGAGAAGGAGAAATCCAGTATGGTTTTAGACAGGAAAGGTTGATGAGAACTAAGAGACCACAGTGTCTTACTACTTTACCTATCTCTATAGTCTTATCGGCTGAGTTTGTGGGCGCCATATTGCTAAAGGGCACGAAAGAGAAAGCTTTAGGAAATGTTGCGACTTTGCCATCTTGGTTTTGGGCAAACAGGAATGGTTAGGGGGAGTGCCTTCTAATACCTTTCGCAGTGGAAGTTATCGTTATCGGGCTTAGGCAACCATCTTAGTTATGGGTTGTGGGAAGCTTGGAAGCCTTGGCGCTCATCTTAGTGTGGGGCATATCAATCCTTGACGGTCATCCACCTCATCTTCCATTCTTTTACTACCCATTTTAGGGCGATGATCCAAACTCATGTCTTAAGACAGCGTGCAGACATGTTAAATTCCTTTTCAACTTTTTTTTTCTAAAATACAGACTCATTGAGTTCAGTTCTGTTTATTCCCACGGAAAGCCGAATAGGGGTGTAGTTCTTATTTCAGTTTTGCTGAAAATAGTTGCTTCTGGGACTTGACCCATTAATTTCAGTGGGATTTAAGGCCAACTTTCTTGGGAACCAGGGATTAACATTTGTAAACCTCCCAGAGAACTTTTAGGTTATGAGGTGGCATTGAAATGGAATGAATGAATGAATGAATGAATGTGTGCAGGTTACTGAAGATGAATAAATTCCTGGTTGTGGAGAGCAGTTTTCTCTTTCACCCTCATAGACAAAATCAGGTAGCCTTTCCCCAGCTGGGTACCCAAAAGAGGTGTTGAACTGCAGTGCCCATCATCCCCAGCCAGCAAGCCTGTCAACTGGGGGTGATGGGAGTTGCAGTTCAACCCATCTGGAGGGCAACAGACTGGGTAAGGCTAATTTAGGGACTCTTCCAGAGTTTATGCATCCATCCACAATATAGGACATGCATTTCACATTCAGTAAAATTATGAGATGATTTCATTCCCTGACCTTTTCTGCTCTGTATCCTAGATAGAATTAAGCATGCAGTCTTATGTATGGTTAGAGAGGAAAATGTCCCACTACATCTGGCATTCTCCAGCCAGTCATGCTGGAGTTGTAAGGCTGCTTTCTGTCTAAACAGACATAGGATTGCGCCCTTAATCCTTTTTCACTAGGGCTGTGGCAGAGTCTCATAAATTTTCACATGATCAAACCATCCAAGAATAGAGATGAATATTTAAATAATAACCTGCATTCCTCTTATTTTTATTCCGCACTGTTCAAACACAGCATGATGTCTATATTTGTGCACACACTTAACTGGTAGTGAGGTCCTTTTGAAATCAGTGGCATTTACTTGCAAATAGTAAACAGGGTGAGTGAATTGCACACTCCTTGCATGCTTGTTAATCAGAAGTCTCTGTTCCTATTTTTTGGAAAGCAAATTATTAATTTCAGGGGGAGTTGGACCTAAGCTTGCAACACAAAGCACAATACTGCTAATGTCTACTCAGGACTCAGCCTCAGGGAATGACCAATAGTTGCATCTGGTTAGGACTGCAATGCAGCCTCCGTTATCAAAGGGACAGAGTAGTATAATTTCAAAATGTTCAAGGAGATGGGGAAAAATTGTTGTAGGGCTACTACCAGCTAAGACTGTATCTGGAAAGAGTGCCCAGCTACAGTTGTACACGCTCTTGTTGAATTACTGCAACTTGTTTGGATTACTGCAAAGCACTGTATCTGGGGCTGCCTTTGAAAATGGTCTGGAGAGGTCAGCTGATCCAAACCATGGCCTCAAGGTTGTTAATGGGAACTGCTCTATGAGAATATAATACGCTCGTCCTCTTCCAGTTCCACTGGCTGCCAGTTGAAGTTCGGGTCCAATTTGGGGTGCTAGCATTAACATTCAAAGCCCTATGTGCCTTGGGGCCAGATTATCTGAAGGAACATCTTGATCCTCGTATGTACCTCTCCAGACCCTAAGGGCATCTTCTGCCGTCCTTCTCCAGGAGCCCCCCACCAAAAGGAGGGTGGCTACCAGGAGGGCTTTTTTTGGCTGTGGCACCTGCTGCCTACTCTGTATTCTTTTGATGCAGGACAAAAACCCTTTTATTTTCCCAGAATTTTAATAGTTAACTGTTAAACTTTAGTTTTGGAATTTCTCCTGTACCCCTGCTGTATCTCTCTGCTGATTCAATTGCAATTGCTGTAGTTTTATTGTCCCATGTTCAATTTTTCCCTTTTTTCCTGTGTGTTTTGTTAAACTCCCAGAAAGCCTCAATGTAAAAAGGAAGGAAGGAATGTGCATTTCTGCTGTTTGCAAGGACACATCATCCGCGTTGACAGCCATGCCAGATCCGTTCGCGATCCCGCAGGGACGACGCGAACGCAGCAGCACGCGCAAGGTTTCCCCGCAGCTGGGGCGCATGGCCATCCTGCCGCTGGGGCTGGAAGCCCCCGGCAGCCGCCTGCGCCTTCCACGGGTTTGTCCAACCCCTTTTAAGCCCGTCCCAACTGGGGGCCTTGCCCACCTCCCACGAGTGCAATCCACGGTTCAACTCCGCTTCCTTGCATTCGTCCTGCGTCGCCCACCCGTGGGACGACCCCTTGGAGTGCGAGAAATACTGGACAGGGGGAAAAAGGCCTCCCTCGCCGCCTGCCCACGCCCTTCGCGTCTCCTCCACTCCCCTTCCAGAAGCGGGGCAATTCTGGAGGCTCCAGCGCCCCCCTCCACCCCGGCGGAGAGTCGCTGCTGCCCTTCGGCCGCTGCAGCGCCCTTTCCGCGAGAGCGACTTGCAGCGGGACGAGCCTGCCCACGCGCTCCCCCCCGCCGCGCTCCCGTCTCCATGGCGACGGCCCCTCCCCGCGCCTCCCGCCAAGCGCCGCCGCTTTGCGACACTTGCGGTAGGCGTCGCGGCAGCCGGGGAGCCCGTCAGCTGATTTCCAGCAGCGGCGCCGGGAAGGGGGTCGCGGGTGGTCCGCAGCCGAGGCCGCCGGGGAGAAAGGAGCGCAGCGCGGGGGGCGTCCTCCCTCGCAGCACCCCCGACCAGGTGCGTCTCTTTTGGGGAGGGGGCACTGCTTTAACGAGCCCCTCGCCCGCACCCTACTCTGCTGAGTAAGGCTGCCTTCTGCCCGAGGATGTGGGAGAGCCCCCTTCCCTCTTCCCTTAGAGAGTTGCCATTTCTCCCCCTCAGCACTTTTCCTTTTCTTTTCAGGCCTTGAAAAGTCCCCCCCCCCCATCTCCTCCGTATTGCTGAGTGGCCGCCCACTCCCTTGCAGCCGCTTCGCCCCTTTCCTCGGGAGGGGGCTGCCCTGCTGCCAAACCCCCTCTCATCTAGCCTGGGATTTCTGGGCTTCCGTCTTGCATCCCCCCCCCCAAAAAAAACCCTGTCTCTGCTTATGTGTTGCTTCTTTAATGAAGGGATTTTTAAAAAATAAAAAACAAGGTGATTTTCTTTGTGAGCAGCTGGTGTAAGAGACTCCCTCGTCAGTTTGGATGAAGTGTGATGTAAATGGCATACACGTGTCCTGCAGTTGGGACTGGGCTTCTTTTTTAGGGCCAGTACGAATGCAGGGATGGCCATGTGTGGTACTTTACCTGTCAGCTTGCCGCTGTTCAGCGCTGGTCTGCTTCCCAGATGTTTTGGAGTACAGTTCCCAGAATTCCTACCACTTAACCATGCTGTCTGAGAGGCATGGGAGTTGCTGTTCAAAATGTTTGGAGGTCACCAATTTGGGGAAGGCTGCGATAGGTGAAGAGTGGGTGGGACCTGAAAGGCATTGTGTCCTCTGCCTAACTAGGACGGGACCATGTCTGTTTCCCTCTGCCTCTCCCCTTCTTTTTACTTAGGGAGCAGAATGTCAATTTCATACCATCCACCCCTTTCCAAATCCCTTCTTTTCTAGCAACTAACTGCTTCTGTTTACCACATGAACCCCTTACCTTTAATGGCAACAGGCACTTGTTGCCCACTTTCCTTTTGCTGGTATTGGTTTTTGCAGGTTTGTCTTTAGTTCTAAACTGAGAACCTTCTTAGTTCATTGCATTTGCAGGGTGCCCTGGTGCTGACTCAGTCCAAGCATAAAGAGGTGGTGTGGTTAAGAGCTTGGGACTGGGACTCAAACAATCTGGATTTCAGTCCCTATTCAGCCAGCTGGATAACTTTGGGCCAGTCATGCACCCTCAGCCCAACCTACCTCACAGGGTGGTTGTTGTGTGTATAAGATTCAGAGCAGGAGGAGGAAAATCATGTAAACTGCTTTGAGTTCTTTAGAAGAAAAATGTAGGGTATTACTCTAATAAATAAATGAAATAAATAAATAAATAATGGGTGAAACTGGACAGGAGCAGATGACCTTGGGGAAAGTAGTGGAACAGATCTGTGTAGCGTTCCATTAAGGCATTTCAAACAGACTCATTGACATGCTTTGAATGATGTGTTTTACCATGGTTCTGCTTTTATCATGGCAGGTCAGAAGTCTTCCTTTTTACCAGATTGCAACTGCTGGTGTTATGGGAAAAGAGTGCACTCTGGCATCACTGTGCTTGGATCTGTGTTTGTAAATGGTGATAGGAGTGTTGGGGGTCCTGCTGGCCCTGCAGTGTGAGGTCCTGTTGTCAGGGATGGTGGCCACTGTCACTTTTACAGGTTGTGGTGCACTTGACTTGGGGACTAGGTGCCTGCATTTTTCTCTCCTTCGTCAGTAGAGAGCCATTTCAAAAAAGCACTTTTCTCTGGGTGATGCGTTTAGGGAACATTTTTTAAAAATTTCCCTTGTGCAATAGACTCTTCCTAGGGAACTGGGTCACATTGATAGGGTGGCAGATATTCTCTGTCATTCCTTATCAGCCACGCCTGCTTAGTCACAATTTCATTTCTAGAAAGTGTTGGGTTCTTTGAAATATTGAGATAGGTAGCTGGTTAAGTGGACCATAACCCTCTTTCCTTCCACCCACTTAGGTATGTAGCATTAATTGCATTTAGCCTGACTCATTTAGAAGGTGGTTCCTAAAAGCAGCAAAGTATTTCTTGCCAATTATTTGCCTGCTTAAACTTGGAGTTCTGCCCATTCCAGGGACACTGCTTAGTACAGCAGTAGCCACTTTGCTGTTAGTATCTTATATTTTATTATTTCAGTGAGTTATTAATGCAGTTGAAATGTTCCTTTGTATATTTTAGCAGTTGGTTCCATTATAAGATTGATAAATAGGTGTTGGGACAACCGGGCTGGTAAATTGTATGAGAAAAGCAAGAGTTAAGTCATTCTTTGTTGAAAGTTATGATAATAGAAGCAGTTCAGATCAAAACATTCAAGCTGATGTCTTTCCAAACATGATGGTGGCACATCCCAGGACAGTGTAGCAAAAAACAAAAGCAAAGGTGTGCAAAAAAACACAACTAGTTCTGAACACCATACTTGTAATAAGAACATGAGCAGTCAAAGTGTAAAGGTTCCCAACCTGCCAATTCCAATTCTCAGCAATCAATATGGCTTATAGCATGTGCTAGGGAAGGAATTATAAGCAGGCATTGCTGTTTGTGCTGGTTCCACAGAAAAGGCTTGGTATCCAATGCACATGAGAACCCTGATTGATGTAAAGTTAACATCGTGGAGTGGAATGGGGATATTTGTAAAGGGAAGAAAGAGTGGGTTTCTCAACTCCCCATTCTTGTTATTTGTTATCCTTATTTGTCATGTCAACAGGTGAAAGAACAGGTATGTGAGGGACAGTCAATATCCAATGCACCCCTCTGCTGCAGATCACTCCTTTGTCTGACATTTTGCAATATAGAAACTGTGGATTGCATGCATGTTGTGCTACTTAGTTACCCTGAAATGGAGAGAGCTTAATTTGGGTAGACATTGCTTATAACCCTTTAGCTGCAGTTTTCAGTTTTCTGCACGGTCTGAGCACCAAACAGGACTGTTTTGTCCTTATGCTGTGTGGAGTGTCATTGTCTGGTTTCCTCCCCCTCCAATTATGTGCTTTTTCATACCATTGATCCTTTAGTGACTGCTGTTGCTAAATTGATCAGATAATGATAAGTAAATGAAAGTGCCTAGTGTTTGGTTTAGAAACTTCATCTCCAGGCCAAAATCCTTAAACCAGTAACTTGGGATTTATGCTAAGCTTGTTTCCTTTGCTGGACTTACTTCCAAGTAAGAGGGCATAGAATTGCAGCCTCATAACAGAGTTAAAATGCAAACCTACAAAGTCCTCTGTGCTCCCCCCCCCACATCACACTGCCACACTGATAAATGTCCCAGCTGAGTTAATGTGATTACTTGGGAACATAACTCTTTATGGATTAGGGCCATGAAATATAAATCTCACTGAGCATGCTCACTCATGCTCTAAATGAGTGTGTGATGTCGTATTGTGAGTTTTTACTTTGAACAAGAGGTGTGTAACAATGGGAGCTTGCTTCAGGAGCTAAAAGATAACTCATGACTGGGGGAAATTCCATGTTCCAGTTGCATAAATTTCAAAAAAGAGGGGAAGATTGCAACTATCGTACATAGTTGCCAAACATCTCTGTGTTGCAAATCTAACATTTTTTTTGCTTGCACATAAGGCACAATCTTGTGCATGTTTACACAGAAAAAAATCCTGCAGCATATTCCATGCTGTCTGGGGCATGCTTGGAATTGTAGGTCTTTTTCCTATGTAAAAAAGAACAAAATGAATAGGATTGCCCCCATAGAAACTCATCACATATCTAAATCAAATCCTGGGAGGGCTGGAAGTCTTCTTAATAAACTGGGCTGAGACATTTTCTCAAAGGAAGTAAAAAATATTTTCCACAATTTTTTGGATATTAAAGCATATGTAGTTTGCACATTCTTTGGTATGACAACTTGAATGAGACTTTTTTTTGCATTTAACTGTGAAGCACAGTTCTGATATTGTACCAGAACAAGTCTGAGGAACATAACATCAGAACATTGACTCTGTTATTTGAAAACATGGTGAACAAACCTGTTGTGTGAAATTGTCCAGCCTGAATATAAAACAGGAATGTTAATCACCCACAGAGCCTAGGGATGTATGGATTTTGCCAAGTCTTGTGGTCCAGCATTTCTCTTAAAGAGTTTATTATTTTATTATCAATCATATCAAAAAAGAAAACGTAAAACATTGTAAAAGTTACTCTTTGTGACTCCTGGGGCAGGGCAGTCATTTCTAATGATGTCAGGAATGGGGGCCAAGCCGAATGATGTCTTTTTTGCAGTGTGCAGGAGCACTCTCCCAGAATAAGAAGTCATCCGTGATCATATTTGTTACCTGTTTCAGCTGTCAAAGAGAACAGAGAAGTTAAGGAGGAAAATGGCAATATGAGAATCATAGGCAACTTTGTGCAGTTTCCAGGGATCCATACCCTAGTTGTCAATTGAAAAGCTCCAGTTATGTTGTGAGGGTGTGTGTGAGAATGAATGTGCACTAAAAGGGGGGCAATATCTCTGTCGTTCAATGCGATCCTTTGGTATTGAGGACTAAACTGAGAGTTCTCAGTGTCCGCCTCCTTTTCAACACTGCTTCAAGTCTCCAGCTACTAAGTAGAGATATGGATTGCCTCTATTTATTGTGTTTCTTTCTGAAACACTTACTGCTGTGGTTGCAGCAATTCACTGAAAGTGAGACTATAATGGGTCACAGAACCCCTAGAGCAAATGATGGGTTGTCAGTGCAGCTTGCTGTCAAAAAATAAGCCAACCTGTGGGAAGTGGTCTTGGTTTGGGCAGTGCTACAAACCACTGTGGCTAGTTACCCATGACTGGTTGCCATGTCACGCAAACCAGGAGAATGTTTACAGTTATTGGGATATTCTCCGAGTTTCTTTCCTTCACTCTATTTTGGAATTACCCTTTTAAGAGGTGTCATAGCTAATTTTCCAGGTCAGTTCCATCTTGGGGCCACCTGCTGATAATGTTAGCCTGATTATAATCACTGCTGCGGATTTGTCTCCATGGCAGCTAGGACTGAAACAGCCCACTTAATTTGCTAAAAGCCCTCAAACTGGTCAGGCTAAAAATACTCATTTAGATT